AATATTTTAATATACTAGTATATTTATATAAGACATCACATAATTTTTGTTGTTAAAGTGTAATCTTAGGATCAATTTAATTATTTAAAAAATCTTTATCTTTATTTCTTTTATCAAAATTTTTATTTTTCATTAAGCTGTTCTCATTAAATAAGTTCAAAAATAAATTTAACGTAATGTGGAAGTCCACATTATTCACTATTTTTATTGTTTTTCTCTCCCGAAATTCCCGGCAGTCAGCGTTTATGTTCTCTAGAAAATGCCACCAGTTGTGTCACTTCCGGCAGCATCTCACTAGATTGATGCTGAGATTTTGAATATGCCCAATTTCATTGCTTTCCTTTCCTTTTAGCTCCATCTTGGGAAATTCCATGTTGAATGTTCATTTATTATTAATTTCTTATTGGTTTCATTATTAAACACTATATTTATTCTCTGTAAAATGTGTTTTGGTATATATTTTGGAGTGTCTAGAATGAATTAATTAGATTTACATTGATTCATATGGAAATAATTGCCTCAGTTTTCATCAGTTTCGGATTTTACCGATTGTTTTTGGATGGATTATCGATGAAAACTGAGGTCTCACTGTATTATAATTATTATCTGATAATATATTATTCAACAGAGTAGGTGGAACTCCCTTAGAGACAATCTTTGATGTTTGTGAACCGGTTAACCTTCTCCAAAATCATAACCGATTTAAATCATTTTTTGCGTGCAAATAATATCCATCTCAGTCTAAGTCACAATGCAAACAGCATTTGAAAATTTGAGATTAAAGTTAGGAAGATTAAATTGATATATATTGAATTACAGAGAGTCAATTAATCAAATGGTACACAAAACAGTAGAAGCTTGGGTGCAATAAAATGCATTAAAAAATTAAGATTGCTTTTTACAGTCCTCCATTTTTCAGACTATTTAGTAAAACAGTTAGAAATGGATACAATAAACAAGGAAGATGTACACATATGGTGGAGTATCCATGTGTGTAAAAGTTAATAAGGATATGGACAGAGGAGACTAGGATTAATCTTATGCTAGTTGTTTTTCTTCCCAACTGTTTACATCTACTTTTTAAAATTCTTTTGTGCAAATCCTTGCTCTTGACTGTAAGCTATCACACATGTATGGTGTTAAAAAAACAAGGTGTATTTTTTTTCATAATGGTTTGTCCACAGTAGGGGGAGCCACCCTTATCTTTCATTAAGGGGTGCTTAAGGTATTCCCCTTGGTTTCTAGCTATTCTTTGTGTGTGATTCACCAGAGAAAAGTGAAGTGTATGAAGGGAGTAGAACTTTATTTTTTCTATCCATTTTGATCAAAGTTTCGGAAGGACTCTTAAGAACGAACTATTGAAGGATTGTGCTATTATTTGGATACAAGTAGTTAGTTTTGTGCTAAAACAAAATACTGGAAAATTTTTTATTTTTATTACTTCACATATTTAATATTGTAATTTTTGTTCTTTTGTACAAATTAAATTGGTTTCCTGTTAGTCTTGTACCATCAGGAAATACAGATGTTATAAACAGATCAAAATTAACAGTATATATTGTATGTTCTGATGTATAAATCCATTTTGCAAAGAAATGAAAGCCCATCTACAGCTATCATCTAGGGTTTTATTACACTTGCCAGATCCTACACTTTAAAGCCCAATGCTGTCCAAAAAGTACATTTCCACTTCCGATCCTCCTCATGAAAATTAACACTACAATATAAAACTTTAAAGAAATAATTTATTATTATAATAGAATTATACATGTCTAAACAGTAAATTGCAGAGTAAAGGCATTATCTGTATCATTATACTAATTGCTATATGCTATATTAAAGTAACTACTGTATTTTAGAAATAAGTAAATTATTGCATTTTCATAACATGTTAGAATATTTATTGGTTGAATGATTGAAATGTATATTATTTCTTTAAAAATATTTATTATTATTACATAAATCTATAAGACACTTATGGGTAATTTTGTTTTGAAAGTTATTTTCAAAAAATTAATTATTCTAACCTAAATTAATTACAATTTAAATTAATTAAGAATATTAATGTTAAAAAAAACTTAAAATATCTCAACATCCCTGTTCAAATTATGAATTAATTATATATTTTATATACGTGGTTTTGTTGATTATGTTCTAATTAAATATTATATATACAATTTTTTTCAGGTATTGCTAACAGGTTGTAGATGTGTAGAATTAGACTGTTGGGACGGTGATGATGGATGGCCAGTAATTTACCATGGACATACATTAACTACAAAAATATCTTTTAGGGTAAATAAATATTAATTTATATAATATAAATATATATATACAGGTATACCTTGCCTTACGTCAGTAATTGGTTCCAGGAGA